TTTTTTTTTTTTTTATTTTAAAATTAAAGTTATTGATAAATTTACTGATAAAAATTAAACTTACTGGGTAAAAAGTATTTCTGTTTTAGATTGGCATAAATTTAGTATTCCAATTTTTACCATTGGAATTTATGTTCCTCAATGTTAATCGTTCTTAAATCTTAAATTATTAATTTAAATCTTTTCTATTTTCAGCTTTTCTACTTGCTTTTTGCTAATTATTTATGTTGTTAGCTTCATTTTGAAAAGTGAGAAAAAAAAAAGGGTGCTGGCGGTAGGTTGTTTGAAATTAAATTGCGCTGATAAAATAAGCAAAATACAGAGAAGATTAGTGAGGTTAATGCGACATTTGCGCTTCAGCTTACATTCGCTCATATTTTTTCGCTTTTTCAATCCTTAGATAATTTTCATTTCTTTTTTACTCATCCATTGCGTTTATGTACGGTTAAATTTAAAATTTCTATTTGAAAATCGAGCAAACACCTAGAAATTGACATTATAAAATATAAGAATTATTGAGAGAGAGAGAGGGAGAGAGAAATGTACTGAATTAAATGTTTCTTTTACGAAAAAAATCATAAAATTTGAACAATGTTTAATGTCTTTATTGTACTAATAAAAATATGAAAGTATTTTAAGTGAAAGTAAATAATTAAAAATGCTTTAAATAAGCTAAAGGAGTAAATAAGAACGCGAATTATGCCTAAAAGTCCAGAATATATTTCCATTTAGACAAGCTGATAATTTTTCAGAATGTTGACCTGAATTGTTAATTTTTTTTGTTGAATAATCTGGTCTGATAATTAGTAAATTGAAAGAAGATTATTGACTAGCACATCAGCAAGATTAATTAATTCAATAATAAAAGCTATACTTGATGAAGAGCTTGTCAACAAATTTAAATTTTAATTCCATAAATCGATAGCTTTAGCTAATTTATTTAAAAATTTAAAGCAAAAGTAAAATTTATTGAGGCAATGCTGTCATAATTAGCTGATAAACTGAATTTTTATTAATAATAGATCAATATGATATATGCTGCAGTATAGAATTTCTTTCTTTTTTTTTTTTTTTGAAAATAAAATTCAAATAAATTTGTACTTCAAAAAGAAAAATATCTGCAAACCAATAAACAACTCTTTTTTCTCTCTCTTTCTCTCTCTCTCTCTCTCTCTTTCTGTTTAAATATAATTCATTTTTTCATGAGCCGAAAGCAAAATGAAAAAAGAAAAAATTCTCTGAAATGACATAAAATATGAAAAAGTGAAAAATTTTTGCCTTAAAATTTGTAAATGAAATGTGCACATCAATTTGTAAAATATGAACATTTATCTCTTGCAGAGGTCAAATTGCAAAGGTCAAATCTTTAGTTTTATTCAATTTTCGATCAAAAAAAAAAAAAAAAATGAAAAGTTAATTTCTATTAATCAAACTATAACTCATATCATACCTTACTTTTAAAAGTTTATCATTTTTTATAAAAAAAAAACTCATTCATATTTATCTTTAAAGTTTTATTTTAAGCTTTAACAAATTTGATAAAAAACATTTTATAAAAAAACAAAAGTACTTTTGGGTAGCAAACAGGTGATTTAATAGCTGAAATTTTTAAAAAATTTCATTATTTGCATTTAAACTTTTAGCAAAATTTAATGTGAAAATTTAGTTTAGCAAATTTATTCTGCCCATTCAAATGAAGCAATTATTTATAGCAATAATTGTAAAAAGTTAAATTGAAAAAGATTGAATTGAAAAAGGGTCAACAAGAGTTTCTCTTGAATAGAATCACATAAAAGGATAATTTAATAGAAATTAATAACAGATTAAAGACATATAAAAATGCTGCAGCAAAATCAAAATCAAAATTAAAATTATTATCAACGATCATAATAAACCACAATTTGATTGATTGATTGATTGATTTTTTTTTCAATTATAATTAAATTAATCAAAGCTAAGTGAAAAAAATGATTAATGAGAAATATCAAAAAGATTATGCTAATGAGAGAATTAAATAGGAAACTATAATTGAACTTTATTGAAATTAAATATTTGAGGAAATCATAAATGGAAAAAAAAAATAGTTGAAAAAAATGTAAACAATTTTGAAGCAAATGAATATAAAATTTTGGAGCAAAAAAAAAATTTTTTTTTTTTTTGCATATTTGCTTAAATTAAATAAGAAAATGCTTATTGTGTGTATTAACATTGGAATATATTTGATGAATCGGATTTTGCTGGCAAAAATTTTCGTTTTTTTTCTTTTTTTTTCATTTGAATTCTTTCTTCTACAACTTCCTTTGCATTTCTAAATTGTAAGTTGTAATTTGCAAATTCTAAACTTACTTTGCATATTCCATATGTGATTAATTGATTTTATTAAATTGAAAGTTTATTTATTTGAATTTTGCTTTCATTGTTTTAAAATTAAAATTACAAGAAAATTATTCGACTAATATTTTAAAGTTAAAATTATTTTTTCATTTTTTGGCATTCTTAATGATCGATTAGTGCGAGAACTTAAAAAAATGCTATAAGTCTAATTTAGAGATAATTTTTTTGCAATAATTTTAATCGATTGGATAATTTAACCCAAATTTTGAATTATGATGCTATAACAGTTTCCTTCGAATCTATTCAAAAAAAAAAAAAAAAAAAATTTTTTTTCTGAAATGCTAAATTAAGAAATTTGAAGCAATAAATAGTCTTTTCTGAAATGAATGAGAAATCTTTCTTTTCTTCAAATATATCAATTCGTGTAAAGGAGTAAAATCAAAATTACAAAAATTTTGAAAAGAATTTTCAAAGACATTTTTAAAAAAATAGAAATTTTAAAAATTTTAGTCTCAAAATTATAGTTGTTGAATTTCTCAAAAGTGTTCACATGTTGAAGCTACAAAACTACTTTTCTAAATAAGATCAAGTCTTCAATGCAAAATTGCAATTGTCACAATTGCGCTCGAAAGAAGCAAGTTAGACTGAAGTTCATTCATTTGCATTAAATTATGTTATAATCTTTAATTTGTATAAAATTGCCACTTCTGCAAGTGTAAACAAATTACTATCTCATTTCCTATTTTCCTTAATTTTTTTTTTTTTTTTTTTTTTTGATTAATTTTAACTTTTATATGAAATAAAGAAAATTTTAAATTCGAATAATTTGCATATTTTTCATCTTTTTGCTGTTACATTCAATTGTAAAAACTTAGCTATGTTATTTTTATTTTGATTTTAGATTTTTTATTGAAAGTAAATATTATTATGTTGCAAAAGAATAATTAAATTTTCTATGGCTTCTGTATTGGATAAAAAAATAATAATAATATGGAAATTATAATTTAAAAAATTTTAACTTACAAATACACACTGAATGTTGTTGCAATTGTAGTAAGAAAGAGTTTCAGATTGATGTAAAATATTATCAAACATACTGTAAAATGAATTGCAATAATAATAAAAGTATTTTGTTAAATAAAAAAAAAAACATTCAAAAAAATTTGAAAAAAAAAATTTGTTGATGTATAAGCATTTTTTATTTCATTTAATAAGTTTAAATGAAATAAACATAACAATTAATCTTTAACTTAATATTCTAAAACATTAAAATTATTCCTTTGCATTTCCGTCTTCAAAAAAAAAAAAAACAAGAAAGGTTAAATGAAAAAATAGAGGGAGAGAGAAAGAGAGAGAGAGAGAATGGAAGGAAAGAGAAATTGAATTTTATTATGTTAGTGAAATGATTGAAAAAAAAAAAAAAAAAAACGATAATTATGAGCATAAATCATTAGTAATTGCTGGTGTTGTACTTGTCGAACGATCAATTGGTTGTCCATCAGCGCTTCGATCACATAACATCTGCGCATTTCAACTGATTCATTTCTTTTTTTTTTTTTTTTTGAAGATATCATCGTATATATGCATGTAAAGATAGAACATTTAAATCTGAAGTTAGTCCTAATTAATTTTTTGCTAATTATTAGAAAATATTTCAAGAATTAATTTTATAATATTTAATTTATTCATTGATTTATTTGCATATTTATATTTATTTCTTTTCTTTCTTTTTTCGATTCATCAGAAAAATTTTTCATTTACTAAAACATTGACATGTGACATTATATGTGACAAAAGCAAAATAATTTGTGGTATCTTAAACTAGCCAATCGAAATAGCATCAACTTTTTGGTAATTATGAATCTTTTTTGCTTTTTATTTTTCATCTATTTTCGTACCAATTAGGCGCAAAATGTAACCGATCAAATTGCACTTATCTACTACTTTGATAGCTTTTTCTTGTTATATTTATTTATCCAAGTTATTCATTTTATTATTTTTAATCAGTTAAAGTTTAATTGAGATTCGAAAATTTTCATAATAAATTTTATGCTTTTTTAACACAACTGAACTCTTACTTACTTTACCTTCATAAAATTTTATAAACAAGTGAAATATTTCAGTAAAGTAACTTTACTAATCGATTGTATTTAGCAAAAAGAAATAAAATAAACAACATGAAACTTTAAATTAAGTAATTTTCTTTTATTTGAAAAAGTTTCAACTAACCTTTTATCCGTTCAATTTCTAATTTCATTTGTATCCAAAGATTTTGAAAATGAAAAAAAAAAAAAAAAAAAATTCATCTTTACACAACGATAAGGGTATTTATTTATTTATGAAATACAAATATTATTGAATGATTAGCATTATTGATTGATTTTTTATTTTTTGATCCTATTTTTTGATGCTCAAATCTATTACACATACATACAAACATACACACACATGCATAAACATACATATACACGCATACATACATACATAATATTATTAATTACATTTCTTTTTTTTTAATTATTAATTACAATATTTTTTAATTATTCTCTATTACTAATTACAATATTTGAAAGAATTGAATCATTCGATTTAAAGATTAAAAAAGAAAAAAAAAAATCGAATCGTTTAAATTTTTCACTTTCTTAACAAAGCAAAATTAAATGTTATCAACCGGATTGGGCTAACTGTTCCACGGAATGAAATATTGACCGGAATCTACTTCGTTGTGCAATATTACTGATTGCATTTTCAAGAATTCTTGCTTTCCTTCCTGCTTCATCCATACGTTTAGCTGTCCTTTTCAGAGCTTTTTTTGTTATTGTTGCTGGTAATGCAACACAAAATGCGCCGCTAGTTGAACTAAAAATAAAAAAAAAAAAAAATTTTTGCTCCTATAATTATTAATTTTCTTTTTTTGATTTTTAAATTTACATTCATTTTTCAAATTAATTTTTATTAATTTAGCATAAAATGAATTAATTTATAAACATGTATAAATGCGCTCTTTTCATTAATTTCCTTTTTTTTTTTTAATAAAAAACAAATAATTAATATTTAGAAATTATTAGGAAAAATCCATCTTCTCTTTTTTTTTTCTTCTTTTCATTTATTTCACATTTTGAATTCTATTTAGTAAGCAATTAAAAAATCATAACTTACTTACTTGTTTTTGATCGGCAATGAGCGCAAGGGAGTAACTGATTGATGTGATGAAGCGGCTTTTCTTAAAGCTGTCAATGCTGTAACTAAAATATTGGACCATTTCAGAATTATTGAATTTCAAAATTATGAATGTTTCATTGATTAATATATTTGTACAATTTCGTTTTCGTTCTCTTTTTTTCGTTTTTTTTTCGTTTTTTTTTTTTTGAACTTTTTTGTTATTTTTGTTATAATTTTAAGAATTACTTAAATGTGACATTACTTTTCTCAATCACAAGAAATGTCGTTAAACAATTAGCAAACAAAATGATAACAATTTCAAATAAATGATAAATATTTGAAAAATTAGCATTTTTGATTTCTATTTTGAATTTTCCAACTAAAATTCAGTGCTTAATTTGTTAGAATCTTGAAAGATACACTAATGATTTTAAACGTTACAAAAGAGAAATGAGAGAAAACTGATATGAATTTTGAGTAAAGTCATTTTCAATTTCAAAGAAAAAATTTTCATAAAAACCAAAGTTCATTGTTAAAAAAAGAATTTAAAATCATTTAGGATAAATTATTAAATTTTGAAGTTTTGATGAAAATAGCAGCTGTTAAGCATCATCAGAACATTATGGAAAGCAATTTAAAAGCTTCAAATAAATCAAAACCACAATTACATTTTAATTAACTAAGTTTAAAAATTGTTAAAGAAGATCGACAATCAAGATTTTAACTATTATTATAAGCAATATGTCAAATGTATTGCACATAGATTTTTTTTTTCAATTTCAAAGAAATAATTTTAATTTGTTAACAAAAATAAAAACAATTTGGAAACAATTTTTTGTAGATTATTTATAACAAAATATGTATTTAGAAAAAAATGGAAAAAAAAAGACCTTCTAAAGTTTGTAGCATATGATTATTCTTTTTTTTTAAATTTTTTTCTTCAATAGATTGCACTTTTTTTTTAAAAAAAAAAAAAAGAAACCAATTTGTCAATTGTTAAAAATTTCAATAAATTTTCTATTAAAAAAAAAGCTAACAGCAATATCTTCTTTTCTAAACACCTGTATATATATTACACCTGTGCATATATATGTATATTTATAGTTGTTTGTGAAATATTTTTACCACTTTCTTTTTTTTCTGCATTATTTTAATTTCATAAATAAATAGTAAGGTGATACTTAAATTTGAAAAATTCATAACAATCAATAATAAAATTTGTTTTTTTGTCTTTTTTTTGAAAATACTATTTGCGCTACTATAATAACTAATATTGTTTTTGTTTTTTAAACTTTTATTTTCTTTTTTAAATATGCAATATTAGAAAAACTTTTTGCTACGTTTATGAGAAATTTGTAAATTTCCCTTTTTTTTTTTCTCTCTTTTTGATGATACTAAAGATAAAATAGGGAAAATATTTGCCTTATAAATGATGAAAAGATTTGCAAAAATGTAAGAAATGAGTTAAAATGAAATATTGAAGTAGAATTTCAAGTTTATAATAGTATATCAAAAAGTTATTTATACAAAATATTATTTAAAAAATTTTGTTAGTTGGTGCAAATTTAATTTTAACTTATTTAGTCATATATGATAGGAAATAAGTTATTCTTTGATGAGATTAGCTATATTCTAGTCAATTTGTTATACTTAGTTAAGCCATTCTCAAACTACATAAGTAAAGTAAGATTAAAAAAAAAACAATATAAGATGAAGCAAAATATGAATTAAATCAATTTAATTACTTTAATTACTTACTTTATTGTTTTAAGTTTTAGATTAAAAAAGAAAATAACTGTTTCCATATTTTTTTTCTGTCAATTTTTTCTATCTACTTTCCTTATCTATTTTTTCTATCTATTTATTTTTTCAATCTTTTTTTTTTGAAAAATTGTTTTCCAGCCAGAAAAGAAAAAATATTTCGTTTGCAAAAATTATTTCAAAAAAGATTGGAACATTTAAAATGTTAGCCGTTGTCCGCTATTCATCTATGACTCACTGTTCTATAGCTATGATGTAATGATGAATTGATAGAATGATAAATAAATAAATAAAAATTAAATAAAATATTCTGCGACAAGTAGCAACTAAATAGTAATTGTCCAGAAATTAGCTTAAAAATTTTATTTCTAAAATAGTTCTTCTAAAAATCAATAAAACATTTGAAGTCTTACTAATTGAGTTAAAATTGATCAATTAGATCAATTTTTGCTAAATTATTTGCAAGTATAAAAATCATTTAAAAAAAAAATTTCCCGTGGTTTGTAAAATTTAAATTCTATTTGAAACTTTTCTTCAGTCACATAAGATCAAACAAATTTTTTGGTAGGAATTTGCAATCTGTGACATAAACCTTGGAAATACGTTCAATGATAAATTTAAAGCTTGAAAAAAAAAATTAAACTGATTTTTTAGAATTTTCCAAAAATTTTCAAGCTTTTTTTTCTATTTAAAATTTTGACATAATACACAAACCAATTGTTTCAGATTTAATTTTGATGAAATTGTTTTTTTTTTTTTTTTTTTTTAAAAAAGCTCATCATAAGTTAAAGTCATTAAAAGGTTAAGGAAAAAAAAAATTGAGGAAGAAAAAGTTGTTTGTTTTCTCATTTACAATGATCATATAAAAACATATGGTTTAAATTTTTCAAACAATTAAAAAAAAAATTTTTTTTTTTGTTAAAATTTTACGATGAAAAAAATTCGTTTTTTTTTTTTTTCATTTTTGCTATTCGAAATAATCATTTTGACATGAAAATTACATAAAAATCACTTTTTCTTTTCATTTTTTTTTTCCTTCAATAAAATTGGTGTGCAAAACAATTACATTTGATATGAGAAAAAATAAAATTAAAAAAACTTTTCCGTAAATGCCACACACATCGTTTCAGTAATACTATAAAGTCTAAACAGTAAATTTTCAAATTTTTGAAAAAAAAAAAAAAAAAAGATGAAAATAAATTGAAAAATGCTTATTAGATAGCTTGCAAAATATAGCTTCATAAACAATAAAACAATTATTTTAGTATGAGAAAAGAGAGGGAGGAAGAAAAAAAAAAAAAAGGAGAACAAATGAAAAATTAGGAACAAACAAAAAGAAAAGATATATACGAGTGCTAGAAAGAAGCAAATTTTTGTGGTTAAAAAAAAAATATATAAAAAAAATATTTGCAAAAGAAAAATGCCGACAAATTGGTTTGGAATCTTTTCTAGGATAAAAAAAAAAAATAGAAGTAGAAAAGTAACTGTTTGAAGATGAGAGAAGAATGAAAGAAGTGTGTAAGAACTTTCTCTTTACATTTTCAATTTTTGACAAATTATAATAGATTGAAGCTATGAACATCATCGTTTATTATTGCATCATTTTGAAACATTTTCAATTTATAAATCATTCTACTCTAAAATTTTAGGTGAATTTTTTGTTGTTTTTCTTTTTTTTTTAATTTTTGAAATATTCATTCTTTTACTTTTCTTATCCTTTCTATTTCTATCATTCGTTTTCTTTTTTCTAACTGCTCATAAAAAAAAAAAGACTTCATAAAATGTTAAAATAAATTAAAAAAATTTTAACAATCACAAAAAAAAAAATGAACTATAAACAATTATATAAATATTATTAATATATAGATAATAAAAGGCTATTTGGATTAGATAATTAATATAGCATTAATTTTCCATTTATCCTTTTTCATTAAAAAGTGACGAACAAACATTTTAATATAATAATAATATTTGAGAATTTAAAAAAAAAAAAAAAGAAAAACTAAAATTATTTCTTCAAGAAACACTTAAGCATTATTAATCTTACTTATATACATAATTAAATTATCATAAATGTTCTAGTAAAAAAGAGCCAAATAAATGAATGAAATAATTGGACAAATAAAATAGAAGCATTTAAATGGATAAATTTGACCATTATTGATGAATCAATAATGGTCAAATTCTTATGCTCAAATATTACTATTGCAAATGAATGATAATGGTGATATGATAATAAATATTATTAATAATATGATAACAAATAGCAACAATTACTTACCGTAATCATCATCCTTAGAATTTGTAGCATCCATATTTTTACTTTTTAAGATCGTTGAATGTGCATCGCATAGATCTATCTTATCGTTCATTAATTCTGCAGAAATTTGCAAATTTGTTGATCCATTCTTTAACTGACGTTCAATTTGATCCAATGCACGTCGTTTTGTATTTAAAGCACATAAATTGCATCTGCAAAAAAATATTACTAATAAAAAATTAATCAAATTTATTCATTGAAATTTGACATTTAATTCGTACAAAAAATACGCCATTATTAATTTGATAAAGTTATCATTTATCAAAATTTCAAGATAACATTATTTGATACTAGCATGATTATCTCGGAAATTAGTAAGATAAGCACGGATTGATGAAACAAAAAGTTATTTTAGGTAAATGATAATTGTTCACAATGTGAAAGCTTAAACTAGAATTTTGCTTTACAGTGTAATCACATAATTATAAGATTAAATTTATTCAGAAATTCGTTTTTTTTTTTTTTTTATTTTTCTTACTTTTTTTTCAAAATTTGCTTCAAAAATTTACTAAATGGAAGAGGAAGTTTTATTTAATTAGTCTCCAGAATTTGAAAAAACAAAAAAAAAAAAAAAAAAGGAAAAAACCATTGAAAATTTGCCATAACATTTGATTAATCATCATTGGTCGGACGACGATAATAATAGAGAAATTCTATTCTCGTCGTCGTCAATCAGTCTGTAAACTAAGAGAAATAGCAAAAAGAGGGAATAGAGGTGAAAGTGGAGAATTGAGAGGTAAAAATGAAAAAAAAAAGCTAAACGGATAGTACATGCTATTTTAATGTAAAAATCAAATAATTCTCGTGAGTGTCATTAAAAAAAAAAAAGAAGAAAAGTGGTTTGAGTGAATTATGCTAAGGAGGTAGAAAAGGATGAAAAGAAGAGAAGGGAATATACCCGAGATTTCCTTTCCTTGTTTAGATGTTAGTTTTGAAGAGTAAATATCAAATCTATCCTTTTCTATTTTAATTTGTATAAATTAGTTTTTGAAATATACAAGCAATTTTATTTGACCAATCATTGCTTTTGTTTCCAAAACTTTTTTTTTTTGTTTGATTAAGCTTAATTTTATTTGCACTTTCATTCATAAATAAGCCAATCAAATCTTTCTTTCAAAGAAAAAAAAAAGAAAGGAGAGAGAGAGAGAGAGAGAGAAACAAAGAACGAATAAACAACTATGGCTTTATTTTTCTTCCTAATTAAGGATATATGACAAAAAATAGAAAATATAAAAATATAAATTATAAAAATTTAAAAATATAAAATAGCATACAAATTATTAGCTAACAAATTGATTAAATTTTGCAATCATTTTTCAATCTTGATCACATCTCAATAATTATACTACAATAGAGGAAAGCTAACGAAAAACGACAAATGAATTAAGTGGGATAAGCTAATAACATTTCATTTTTGTGGTAAGGAATAAATTATAATTATTTAAATTAAATAATATTATTACTATTCGATGAAGTGAAGGAAAGATTTCTACATAATAAAGCATTCAAAAAAGAAAAACAATGAAAATGTTTATAACTTAATTTTAGTTCTATTTTTAATTTTTTGAATAAGATAGGATAATTCAGGACATATATATTGAGAAAGAAGACTGAAATATTATCTGAATATGCAAATTTGAAAATTTGGAAGGTCAGATGAATTATGATTAAAATTAATTGCATAAGAGAATGATGATTGATAGTTTAATTGAAAATGAACTCTGAATAGTGCAACAAAAATAGCGCAATTAATCAACTGAAGCAATAGTAATCTCTCAGTGATTTTCATTCTTCTCTTATGTTCTTCATAGAAAATGACAAATTGAAAAACAATGATAAATTTTTAACTCTAAAAATATTATTGTCCTTTTGTTAATAATACAGCGAGAGCAATGCACCACAAACAAAAATAAAGAAATATTTAGTTATTGTCATTCAAACTTTTACCAGCATTACATATCAATCAGAAATGAAGAAAATTGAAATTGACAAAGTGCTAAATTAAATATCCATTTAAAAAATAAAATTTTTTAAATAAAAGATTTCTCTTCTCATCACATCCTTCTTGATAGTGTAAAAGAAAAAAAAAAAAAAAAGTGCTAGAATATTGTCATTATTTTTGAACTACAAAATGATTTATGAATTATTGCTGATCATAACTTTTCACTTTGAAAATTTTTCATTAAAATCATGAAGCTATGAGCGATATGGGAAAAAGAGAAAAATGATTAGAAGAGAGAGAGAATATTGATGATATTAGTGGGAAGAAGAATACATTTCACGCACACTTCTCGTGAAAAGTCTGATAATTTATAGCTTTCATTTTTAACTCTATCTTTTGCTGATATTATATACCTTTCTTTTCTTTTTGTCCATTTAAATTGATTTAGAAATTTTTAAAAATTATGATTAATTGGGTTTAGTCTTTTTTTTTTTTTGCCCAGCTTTATTTAGATCTCATTAGTCTAGTTCAGCTTTTTTTTTTTTTTTCATCAATTTAATTATATAAAATAAAAATTTTAGTTAATTATATGAAATAAAACAAAAAAAAAAAAACAATAAAAATTTTACTCAGTTCTATCTTTTATCAGTAATTAAATATAAAAAATAAAAAAGATATCAGTATTAACAATTACAATCGAAAATTTCAGATAATTCAAATTTTTGATCGAACTTAACACTTATCAAATATTAGACACAATGATCTAATTTAATAAACAAGACATTCCTAGGTTTACAGCTATCAATTAAATTATGCGTTAAAGTGATTTTCGGTTATTTATTCAATTTTAGAAATTATTTAGTTTAATTGTTTAATAGCATTCTAACAAGCAAAAGCAATCGCTGCAACAAAATTGTAAATATTTCTTTTTATTTTTAAAGACTTATTTATGCATAATTTGCAACAAAACAACTTCTCACAATGTAATAAGCTTAATTATGCCATATAATCTATAATACGTTGACGTCATACTTTATAATCAAATTACATATCTGAAATCATCGTAAAAATGAATTATTTGTAAGTGAAAATGATCTAATCAGTGATAATTATTTATCTCAATTGATTTTTATTTAAAAAAAAAAAAAAAAAAACTGCTCAATTAATGATGACATAATTATTACATGCAAAAACAATTTTCTAAATGTTAAAAACTTTTAAAAATCAAAAAAAATATAAAAAAAAAAAAAAAAAAACAAAGCACAAATTTTAATCTATGAAACAGTCAGCCATCTTCTCTAATTAATCTTTCATTTGATTTTAAGTTGTTGAAAACATGAAGTGTTAATGTTTCCTTTTTCTCTAACATTGTTGCTGTTAGTATTACAAATAAATGGAAATGTTTCTCAATGCACTAAAATAATTAAAAAATTTTAATTTGAAATTAATTAAATGAAAACTTGATAAAACAAAAATAAAAAAAAAAAGAAAAACTTCTGATATTTTTTATTAAAATATCAAAATAAAATGCTGAACTAATTTTGCTATGCAAAAAAAAAAAAAATAATTCATATCATATTTGAATTAGGGGTCATTTGATGTCGTAAAAAAAAAAAAAAAAGAAAATGAGATGCTTGTATCCTTGCTCTTATCACTATTGATTGATCACATAATCATATCTGTGATCAATACAAAGAAAGCCTAAAATTGTTTATGTAAAATGATTTAAATGGAAAAATTGTAATGAAATATTTCACCTGTACTGCACTTAATTTTAATTTATTAAATGAAGAAAATGCTAAATTGCTAGTGTTATTGTTGCAAAAAAAAAGGAAAAAAATCATTTCATTGACATTAAAATATACTAATTAATTGATTAATGTTTAATTCGGAAATATTTAATCACAAAAATCAATCCTTTAACTCTTTTTCCATAGAGACAAAGAAAAAATTTCTGTTATTCTTTCTTTTTCGTCTGCTATGAAAGGAAAAAAAAAAACTTTCAGAGATTAATTGTTTTATGAGAAAACAAAAAAAAAAAAAAAAGCAAAAAAAAAAAGGAGTAGCAGAATAACTAAATTTATTGTGGCATTCCAGATAAAAGTTATTAAGTTTCCGCTTTTTTTTTTTGAAAAATTTGAATTATTCTTTGCATAACATTTTAAATAATTTCATTTTGCTTTTTATTTTATTCATTAAATGATAATTGAATAAAATATAATTGTTTGAATCATTTAAATGAGTTACAATCTCGAAATTATTGATGCTATCTTAGTATGAAAATTATCAAAATTATCATAAAATTGCTAATATTATATTAATCAATAATTATTATGTAAAAAATTTCAATCAACGAATATTTTTGACCTTCTTTTAACATTATGAGAAATAAAGATGGAATGAAAATAGAAGTGATAAATAACAAAGCATATCAATTATGTCGGATAACTTGAAGTAATTTGTTTAGTTTTTGAAAGACTCAAAAACTTACGGACAATGACGATAGGGACATTTTTGCTTGTGACCTTTTTTTGGCTGATTAAACATACCATGATTGGCACACAATTGGCACATATACTGCTCTTTTGGCATCTATAATTAAACTTTTATAAATGATTAGCAAAAAAAAAAAAAAGAAGTTAAAATAGCAAAGTTTAAAGATCAATAATGATAAACTTAAATGGTAAACATTTTATATATTTCTCAGATAAACTAGCGTGAAAGTACAATGCACACCTTTTGACAATTTAGTCAAAACTTCATCTCACCCACATATCATTGCAAAAGAAATTTCAATTTGTTGATTGATCAATATCTTTTGAAAAAGGAGAAAGAAAGAGAAATATAATCTAAGTTATTATTATTGTTTTTGTTTTTCTTTAAACTAAATGCAAGAATTATTTATGTAACTACTAAAATAAAAAAAAAACAAAACAAAAAATATCAGTAAGCAATCAGAAAATTTTCTCGTAGAACTTCACTTGTACATCTCATACTGATATGATTACGATAATGCCACAATAACTGGCAAAATTATTGCATAGGAAATCTTTTTTAATGAAATAAACCTAAGATATTGCTAGAATATGCTAACTACTTGAAGCTAACCATGAATGGATAGCTCTAAAATTGATGCTATAGAAAACAATGTCTAAAGTTATTTTACAAATTTGAGTTTCATAATGAAAATAATTGATAACTTAATATATTTACTCAATATAGCTTTAATTCTAACAAAATATTATTTCTGTTTTGAATGGATACTGTAAAATGTTGGTATTGATGCTCTCTGCACCACTAATGATAGTGATTTTAATAGCTATAATGTGGAATCAATGATAATAATAATAGTAATAAGTAAGAGTATAATAAAGTAATAATAATAATGACAATGGTAATGATATTAATAATAATAACGATAATAATATTAATAGTAATAATAATAATAATAGTAATACTAATGATAGTAATAATAATAGAGTTTGAGACAATGAAAAAAAATTGGAAGAATATTTGCAAAAGTTATGACCAATTCTAACAAATCATGAAATTTAAAATATTTTTAAAGATAAAAGAGGAAGGAAATGAGACAGAGGGATAAAAAGAGAGAGAGAGAGAGAAAGAGGGAGAGAGAGGGAAAGAAGAAAAAGAGCGAAAATTTAAAGCTAAAAGGGCGGCACTTCATAAGTGAAAGGCGGGACGTAACCAGTGATAAAGCCATCATCCTCCTACATTTTGCAACCAACCAATGAAATTAACAATATCTCTTTTCTCTCTCCCTCTCTCCCTCTCCCTATTTCTCTTTCTTTCTCTCTTCACTGTTACTCATCAGTGAAACACGATATTAAGCTCAATTTGACAAAATGAAATTTAAAAAAATAAGCAAAGTTTCCTTTTGTTTTTTCAAATATTTCAAGTGTTAACAGAATTTCCTTTGTTTTGAGCTGATTTTCATGGAATCATAAATATCTTAGATAAGCGATAATTAAGAAATGAATAATTATAAAAGATAATTCTAAAATAGTTCAGTGCAAATATTTCTAATTTAGTACTAGACGGACCGGAATAGAAATCATCTCTTTCCGGTCATTCTTATTGGTTAAAGATTTATTTTTCAATTTAGATGAATTTCCATTTCATTAACTGAAAAGGAAAAAAAAAGAATTATTTGTTGTATAAGTTGTTGAAACTGTCATATAAGTTGACATATCATGAAATCAAATTCATTAAATACTCTATACTTGTTTTATCAAAAAAAAACTATCATATTTTCATAGTTTTATTTTTATAGATCTACTCGTGTGAATTAATTTTAAGTATCTGAATTTAAATTACTAAAAAAAAAAAGACAGAATAACAAAAAGAAGTAATGAGCAGAAATAAATCTACGAATTCTAGTTGAATAATGCAAGAGTAATAAATAATTACCAAGAGAAGGAATAATACTTAAGTAAAATTAAACATCTGCAGTAATTGAACTAATAAATGCGATGAAACAAAGTAAAATATTTGCAAATGATCAAACATAGTGTCACTTTCTTATACATTTCTGCAAAATCAGAATAACTTTCATTTTCAGTTTATTAAAATATTTCAGATTTACCACAGTTCATTTTATTAATTAGAAATTTTAACAACAAAAGGATATTTAATGAATAAAATTCATATCAAAATATCATCTTTCATACTATAATTTTGAAATTTAATCATAATATATATTAATTGAAAATGAATTATCAAATTGCCAGGAATGCACAACTAAACAATTGCAAAATCATTATGTTTGCGGGAAGAAATAAGCATTAAATTTAAAATTTTTAACATATTGCAACGATAGTATGGAGTATTCGAATTGTTGTTAATAATAGTATCATAAATGGTTTTAATCATTGTCATTAAATTTTGTTGTAGTACTATTATAAACAATAAAAGTGAGCAATATTTGATAAAAAAGAAAGAAAGAGATAAAATCAAATTGGCGATATACTTAAAGAATATTATCACACAGGTGTTCACTTATGAAAATGAGGTAATTATCCAGTTGATAATACGAAAATCAACATTTTTCGTTTTAATTATGTATTTTACCTGTATAATATTTAAATCAATTCTGTTGTCATATTTTATAAGCTAATCAATTCCGCTGTTATATTTTATGGGACCAAACTTAAGCTAACTTAAGCCAGTTAATACATTAAAAAATAATTTTTAATATCGTAGCGTTTTTTTTTTTTTTTTTTTTGAGAAATATAGCATGCATATGCTTGAATAGTCATATTTGACATTGTTTTTTTTTTTCTTTTATTCTTTTTGTTATCAAGATACGATTGGACATCTGTAGCAAACACCGAAGATAAATTTAAAATCTTTAAATACTGAATTTACAATGCTACATTTATCTTTTATCGTTTGATAGACATTTGATTAAAATTATGCAAATCATAGAAAAAGGAAGGAAATACTAGATTAAATACTACTATTAAATCTACAAAAAAAAAAAAAAAAAAAAAAAAAAAAAAAGAATGATTGAATCTAAATTTAAATTGAAAAAAGTAAGAAAAAATGAAAAGCCATTAAGTATTTTAGGAAGTTTTGCCTTGGAGAAATTTATTATTCGAAATCCCTTCAAAAAATCAAAAAGAATCGAAAAAGCCGCATTTCAAGCTTAAATCGATGCACCAATTTGCCTTCAAACTGTCTTATTAGTAATATATGGAGAAATTTTCCGTAAATTGTGCCAATGAATTATAGGTGCAAATATTTTTTTTTTTTTTTTTGTTTAAGCTTAAAAATTTTTTGGTATTGCTATTAAATAATTCACTCTTTCACTTTCTCTCTCTCCCTTCTTCTCTTTCTCTCTCTTATTTCCATTTTTGTTTTTTGTGTATTTTCTAGTTTATTTTAGTCTGCACAGTGAGATGATCAGAAATAACAGGATGGTAATCATTTTTCTCTCATTTTTTGAATTTAAAATTAAAATTAACACGGTCTACTATTTTTGCTTGAAGCTCGACATCCATTTAAAACTTAATGCAACCAAATATTCTCAAACACTTTAAAGATTCTTTTTATATGCGATATTTCTGAAAAGGGAATGATTGATATAAATAATTTTGGGGTATAAAATGATAGATAACAGTATTGAATCTTTATTTCAAAATGATAAAAAGAAAAAGATTTTTTTAAGTTTCTATCAGAAATCGGTGGTTCTGCAGTTTTTTTCCCAAAATTGAGCATAATAATAAATATAAAATAGGTAGTGTCCAATGAAAAGTACTTCAAAAGGATCTTTGAGAACTTTTTTTATTTAAAATAAAATTAATTCATAAAAATGTAAAAGAAATAATTTTTTTTCAATCTGAAGTAGTGAGAAAAATTTTATAAAGAAATGCAAACTAGGATTATTAGAATTAATTACTGTTCATTGTTTTTCTAAAATTTGTTGCTGAAGTAATATTTTATTTTAACTGGAATATTTTCATTCAACAAAATTATCAGTTAAAAATAAATTGAAATCTTTTATGAGTCATAATTTTGTCCCTTGGCATTATTGCTATTTGATAGTGATGAATTGAGCAAACAAAATAGTGATTGAATGTTTTGAAACTAAATCATTGCCTAATTCCATTAAATATATTTGATTGACTAAAAATTTTGGCTAAAAAAGTTCAATAAATTATCATAGCGAAATTGGCTCTATACTGAAAATTATGTCCCCTAACTTATTTTCAAAGGTTTGATTGGTCAAATAACTTGAAATGGAGTCATCCTTAACTTTTAGAAAGTAATTCATACTTATGACACTACGTGACTAAATGAATTAAACTTTAAAGGTATTATAATTAAACTTAAATACATCAAAGGAAGAAGTAAAATAAAAAAAGTTTGTTCATAACTGCAACAAAGAAAATACAACAAAATCTTTACTGCAGTTAGCTAATTATAAAAACATTTTCCTTGCAACAATTTGTCCAATTAATTGAGAATAGGACAGATGGATATGGTGGATGAGGCCAAAACTCTACCAGGCCAAGTGACTCAGCTTTCAAAGTATTTATTGACTGGGACATTTGGCCAGATAATCATTAGGAGCTAACTTTTTGCAATGTTTCTGATCACCAATTTAGCCTGAAGATTTTCATTTGATTTCTTCTACTATCACTTACTCAACATTTTTACTCAAATATGTTTCGTCTATAATCGCAGTAACAGCAAATTATCAAATAATGGCGACAACAGTTAAGTAACTTTGACAATATTCGAATGCTTTTTTTTCCGTTCAATTAAAAATCCAATAGAAAATCTAATGGTACTTCTTTGGTTTTTCCGATTATCAATTATCGATAAATCGAAGAATCTCAATATGACTAACATTGAACTTTATTTTTGGTGTAGCTGTGTGAAAATCAAAGTTTCGATTAATTATTGACCATTTCTGATGACCTATTACTAAAATTCTAATCTTAAAATCCTAGTTTCCATAAGATTTCTTGAAGAGATTTTGTTCTTTTTTAGTAAATCTTAAATCAAATACTTCCTTAGCATTATCAATAGCATATGATGAAAAAAAACTTAAAAAAAAAAAACATTAGAATTATTTTTGGCTTTTTGTTCAAAAGCATTTTTTTTTTAGTTCGAAATAACTGTATAGCAAAACAGAAAGTAATAATTTATTGATAAAGGAAGATAAGCATTAAAATATTGCCGTATAATTACAGATATTTTGAATATACATATTTCATTACAAAGTAACAAAATTCAATGATACAAAAAAATTAAAAAAAAAACGCAATTACCTTTAGTCTGAATATTTGTTTCCATAATGAAGAAAAAATGATATTATGAAATGAGATTTTAAGAATTAATTCTATTCATTATAATTAATAATTTTTAAAATTATTTGCAAATTTTTGAGCATATTTTTTTTTAAATACCATTAAGGAAATTTTTAAAAAATTTTCATTTTACTTACTGACTAACTTCATTTTACTTATTTCGAAGTTTTGTATCTTTCCTGTTTTCCTGTAAATCTTGCCTTGAATTTCTCACTATTCTATTCAGCAAGCTTCTCGAGTATTGAAAAAGACGCTTGAATCAGATGCAATTTCAATTTTTATAACGATTCAAATTTGTTTAATACTTTGTTCAGAAAACCAAATTTTCTCACATCAAAATTTGTCCTTGTTATGGTGATTTAATGGAATTGCTTTCGCTGTACCTTTTTTCAGCACCTCAACACTTTTCCATTTTTTTTCGTCAACAAAAATCTTTCAAAATTTTGTGGTAAAAAGTTCCACGAAATTTCCGATTAGAAAAAAAAAAGGTAAAAAAAAGAGATTTAAGGAAAAAGAAAGAAGAAATTTGAATGGAATAGTTTATAAATCGTATCAGACAAAATTTAGTATGTTAGATTAAAGAATGAAATAGATTTTGAGGAACAAAATTTTAAAATATTCTTATGTGCATTACGTAAAATATTCATATACTCTTATATATTTAATATTTTGTTCCATAACAATTTGAAAAATTTTTTTTTTTTCAATTTTAATTTAATTTTTTTCAATATCAATCAACATTTATATTACATGTCTTTATTACAAAAGATATTTGTGAACAAACACAGCGTAATATCACATCTTTAACATGAAAAAATATATGCAAAGATGATAATAGGATGAAATGCATGAAAATAGATTTAACAATAAAATTAAATTTAAAACAAAACTTAAATTTTTAAAATTAAATTAGTAATGAAATTAAGTTTGAATGGATTGATTTCAAAGTAATAAACTATGCTCAAAAATTTAGAAATCCAACCATGAAATTTGTTGGAGGAAAACTTGTTGAAACAATCTGCGCAATGAATTAACAAACAGTGTTGAATGTCAACACTCATTGAGACTTCAAAAGTTTCAAAGTGCGACCGGTCGGATGCTGAGGAAAAGATGGCATGTGTCTTCCGGTTTCAGATGATGAGGTTTAAATGGGGATCATTTGAGCTTCGGGCAGTTTTTGCCGGATCAGTACTGAGTTTTTGGGGTCTATGATTGAGAATAAGATGGGAAACTATTCGAAAAATTAATTGGTTGAAAGTGGAGCTGCACTGAAAGCGATTTTTTTATCATGGCTGGCCAGAGTTTAAAAAATTTTTAAAAATTTTTTGTATTTTTCAAAGTGAATACCCATAGATTGAGCTTGTTTGCAAAAGTAAATCTACAAAAAAAAGTAAAAGGTGAAGGAAGATAGAAAAAATATGTCAGTAACAGCCGGAAGATTGAGGATGAAATAAATATAAACAGTGATTAGCAAAAGTTGCGGATAATTTTTCTGGCGACAATTCTTTTGTGAAATCCTATGAGATTTCTCCATTATAACGGTAGTGGAATGATAAAATGTGATAGGGAAGGTTGACGGGAGAGAGTGGTTATAAGGTAGTGCAAAGTCCAAATGTTGCTAAGGAGCCCTGTATCAAGTAAATAAAGTCTGAAAGCGTGATATATTCTAAAAAGCTATAGTGATATAACTCTTTATAGAAGATAATTATTAATCAGATTTAATTTGAGTCTTTTAAAATTAAGTGTATTTTTTGATCAGTAGCTTTGTCAGTTCTGAATTCTTGTTCACCTTTAAGTTATTGGAACTGCTTTTGACTATTACTGCTCTATAAATTAATTATCGACCTAACTACGCTTAATTTGTTAATTTTCACTAGTAATAACCTAGTATTTTGCAATGAGAATGTTATATTTTAGATCAACGTGAAAATGCGCTTTCGAGGTTGGGGTCGCCGTGGTCCAACACCACTTTTTCCACCCTTATATGGACCTCCGCCTGGTGCTACACCTTCAGGACCGGTATTTGCATGTCGACCAATGTCGTTCGATTTGGCACTTTGTGAAGCTAGTTTTCCAAGAATCAAAGAAATGGATGATACCGATTTGGCACAAGTATTCTACATTGCTTTTTCTCTTTGCTGTGTATTCAGTAGTTATAAGTTTTTTTTTTTATTAATTTCTATTAATATAAAATTTTATTAATATAACACGTGGGTGTCATTTTTCTAAACATTTTCAGAATTTTTTTTATTTAATTAAGGCAATAACTAAGCGGCATCAGGAAATTACACCAACACCAGTTGAACAAACCGCAGTTCTTGGATTGATATCAAAAATCAAAGCTGCAATTGAGAAGATCAGTGCTGCTCCCGATCTTCTACCCTCTGTGGTAAGCTGTGCTGCTATATTTGCTCTGCAAGTAACTGGATGCTTTTAATAAAAATATGTAATATTTTGAGTACGTTTTAAGTGACTGTACTTACGAGTTGTAACAGTGGCATGGAAGATTATACTTGTAAGTTGTAATAATTGTATGCAAGAACGCATGGATTATAAGGATATTAAATGTCTACTTTTATCGTTTTCAGACTGTTGAAGAATTTCGTGAAGTAGGGTCATTTCGGAAAGGTACCATGCTTGCTGGTCATAATGTTGCTGATATTGTTGTTGTGTTGCGTTCTCTTCCGACAGGTATACTTAAGCCAGTTTTCTGAAATTCTTTTCAATGCTCATCAGGCTAATGCGCATGCAGTGCTTCCAAGTGCAGCTTTATACTGAATGACCGAACATCAACATTGACATTGAACATGGTACTTATCATTTCAGTTCATTATTTATTGTAAATATTGCTAATCGTTGTTTTAGTGGAAGCAGTATCAGCACTGGGCCAAAAGATTGTTGAAGAGCTAAAAGCAAATGACAAGGAGGGTTTGTTTCCTCTTGTCATGCTTCTTTTTTTTTTTTTTTAGATTCTCTCGTCTATTGTTTTAATTTTTACAATTATTTACATGCTGAATATATGGAAATTATGCGTTTACTGCTCGTTGTAGATCATCTGTACTGTTCTTAAATTCTGCAACTGGCTTTAGTTTTATGATTCTGTGTATTCAATTTGACTTTTCACACTTCCTGCTAGAAAATACAATTTTAGGATGCTTCAGCAAATTTTCTAACTTTAGTGTATGGCTGTATTTCTCGAGATTTCGGTTGTGAATTAGCTGGTCCAAATGCAATTGTGCGTTTATTGATAACTACAGTTCCATCCAATGCAAAACTTCTCGAACCTGATCTTCACTGTACAGTTTTCATGCTTCAGATCTTTTTAGTTATTGAAATCTTATAAAATTATATCAGTATTATGAAATGTTGGGATTTGTATGTATAATTTTTTGTTATATCTGTAATTTTTTAACTGTTATATTTAAAAAATTACATTTTTTTCCTAGTGAAAGAAAGCATAATGATCTCACATATGGCTGCCCTGAGACATGCGCGATGGTTTGAAGAGAATGCATCAAATCCAACTATTAAGGTTAGCAGGATGATTTAATGACGGTAGTATTATGATTAAACTTTTTCTAACTATGTAAAATATTAGGCGTTTTAAATGATTTTCGTTTGTTTCGGCTTTTTTAAAATAAATTTTTTATGTAATCAGAGGATCTGTGTTGCAGATTTTGATTCGGATCATGAAAGATATTCGTAATCGTTTCGACCAGTTGAAAGACTTGAGCGTTTGGAATATAGAATTAATTGTGTGTTAACTTTTCTGGATTTTTCTTAAATGGCTGTGGGGAATTGATGTCTGATTTCAGTTTCATTTGTTCGTAAAGAAAACTAGCACTGAAAATGAACAAAAAGATATGAGGAAGAGAAAGCAGTTTAAAGACGGGAAAGGGATAGTTGAAGCTAAACATTTTAGATTTCTCGATATTTGTCGTTTCACTAATTTGATTTAGTCACATTATGCGGTGGTGAATACAGCATCACAACAACCACTTTCTGCGAATCAAGCATTTCGACGATTTTTTCAACTTCTTGCTGCCGGATTATTACTTCCCACTTCACCGGCGCTAAGTGATCCTTGTGAGCAGGCTCGGCGTATTCATCAATCGCTAACTTATGAGCAGATGGTTAGATTTGCTGTTGCTCCTATTGCTTTAGATTTTGATTATTCTTTTTATATTGCTAAAACCAAAATGAAGACTACCCAGCAGTTCAAGGAATTTTTTCAAAAATTTTTTTATGCTATAATATTATATCATTATTTTTTCATCCTCATGCTTGAGTTTTTTTTTTTTTTTTTTCACATTAACACTGCATCATTTGTTTTTCAGGATCAGTTGTGTAGCTCATCACAAACACTTTTGCGAATTATTTGTCATGGTGGTTATAAACATGTATTAGGATTAGAGACATCAAAAAGCGGTTAGTATTTCCATGATAGCGTTTTATTTCCCTTTGTTCATCGATTTAAAGTATGTAAGTTAATCTTTGGAAAGTGATTTCTCAACATTTGAAATTATTTAATTCAGTTTATTGATTTCTGAAATTTCTAGGGCTGGTAACCGATATGACATTTTGGGGTGATGTAATTGTCACACCTTTAGAAGCAGCTTATATTGACAAAGTAATGGAGCCCATGTATGAAGATGAAATTAGTGGTGAGAAATCGGATGAAGTAAGAACTGATAGTATGGATACTCAAATCGTAAAGTGATTTAATTATGCTTTATATGCTCTTTTTAAATCTTTTGCACAGATATATAGTTTCTGACGTTATCCACTTTTTGAACAAACTTTCTTGGACATCCGTTTTTGTCAATTTTTTTTTTTGATAGTGGTTCATTTTTAATCTGAGATCTTTTCCTTTTAACTCTATTTCAAATCCATAACTTCTTAACTGTACCAATAAGTTGAAATTGTTAGAGTTTGCTGGTAATTTGGAAAAATTTTCTTTTCGTTGAAAAAAAGTTTTATTCAGTTTTATTATACTGCTGATATTTTTTTAAATGTTAGTTTTGGATGTGTAAGAATTTTTATTCGTATGTTGCATATTTTTGTTACATGGTATCCAAATCCTTTCCCTGAACTGTTATCATCTGGAACTAAAAATTTCTGTTTGTTGAACTGCTTTAATTTAATTTTTACTCTCTTCTAAGATAATGTTTGAAATCTTTTAATTTGATCATTACTTTGATGTTAAGTTTTGAATATGTAAGGATTTTCATTTTTACAACTTTGTATTATTGTTTTTTCTTTTTTTTTTTTTTTACAAGAAACTTGGAAAGACAACTTTTTTGTCTGCATTACTGATACTTTGTAATACATATGGTCAATAAAACATTCATGTAAATGCGTTCTTTTATCGTTTCGAAGTTTAGTACCACAGTTTTTTTTTTAAATTATCTTCGCACTTTGCTCTCTCAGTTATTAAAGAATGATTTCTGGTTATGTCTGTTTTTGTAGTTTTCCAGAAATTTTTTTTTTAAGTATTTTTTTAAGAAGCAGTACTTTGTTCTTTATTGCGTGCAATAAATAATACTTTTTTTTTTTCCTGATTACGATGATATTTCCTATATTGCTGGTTTATTCTTTTATTGTTCGTCTTTGTTTAAATGGTCATATGACAATATAGATAATTAGAGAAGAACGTTAAGATGATAGTCATTAATAACTATCATTTGCTCTAGTTTTGAAATGAGATCCAATTTTTCAGGGCATTATGGCTCAGCGCCGTATGTCATCATTAGCTAGTCCTTTCGAATTAATGACGCCAAGAGCTCTTGATGTAAATGCGATAACTGAAACGTTAAACCGAATGTTCCCTTCACTTCAACTTATCCCTAGTGATATCCAAAAACCAACGGTAAGCATTATCAGTTCAATTAGTATGAGAAACATCAAGTATGAAGGATTTATGCTAAGGTTGCGTTGTATTTCCTGAATTATTCAAATCAGTTTATTTCGCTTTCAAATTCAGGAGGATCGTCTACTTTATTCTGACTTTTTCCAATAGATAGGTTGAAACTTATTGATTTTTACAGTGCAATGCCAATCAAAAAATACTGCATGAGGTTGTTAGGTTGAATTTGAAAAATTGAATTCCTTTGATGGAGTTTTAAGCTACTTATGATTCAGTCAATGATCTAAGTTGCTTGCTATTTCAATAGCTAAAGAAAAGCAAAAGGGATGGCGAGAAGTAAATTTAAGTATTGGGGAAGGAATATAACTATTTTATAGATCTTCACATTTCGCCATTTCGTTCTATTGTAATTTTGGACTTTCTTTGTTTGAATTTCAGATAAGCAAGATTTTGAGGAATTTTAGATAGGAAATAAGATTTCGAGGTAATGAAATTAACGCTTCTTATCTATTTTTCTTTTTATTTTTATTTCTACATAGATCATTATTCGAACGTTTATGGATATTTTCTACTTCTCTGAAATAGTTTTAAAATATGTTATAAGCTGTTATTATTTTGAATATGAAGATAACAGCTTACAATATATAAAGTAATTCTTTAAGACAACTAATTAAATTGAATATTTCCATTTTACTCATTTGATAGTTCAGGTCCGAAATTTATTTCATTCTCTCCCGCAAATGAGGTTTGATTTAAACAAATAGTAGTTAGAAGAAAGTCTAAAATCACAAAACTCACCACATCAGGTTGCAGCCATAGTAACAGAATTTATGGTAAATGATTACACTGTTTCAGTCTGAATTGATGTGTGTTGTATATCAGTATATCACCCAGTACATCATGGATATTCCGGATGCTGTTTATACGACACCACCGTTTGCATTTAGCAACGCCATGGATATGGACTTATTCACTCAGGCATATCCGAAATTAGTTATCTTCCAAGCCTTGTAAGTCATTCAGAACATTTTCGTTTTTCTTACAACGCTTTCCGTTATGTGAAATCACTAATTCTTTAAATCCTATTTTCCTATATCACTATGTGATTATGAGGATGGGATTCCTGAAATCTATTGCATCGAACCAAGTTTAAATCTAAATTATCAGCAGAACTGTTTCGCTGGTTATGACCGAGGTTTCTTCAGATGAATGGCCGCGTGTAAAATAAACTGTTCTAATTATAATTGTAATCAAACTTCCTTTAGTTTTTAACTAGATTTTTAGGCCTAGGAATCATACACTTAAAAAATTTTATTTTTTTTTATTTTTTTTTTTGTAGATTTCAAAAACTTCTTTAGTTGATTAAGTAATCAAAGACATCCCAGATCTGCTATTGTGGAAGATATTTCATCAAATCAGATTCAGTTCAGTTATCTCGATTTAGTCGCACCAGAACCAGGGCCGACACGAATTCTCCTTTCTACCCTAATCAATTTCATTGAATTCACTGCAAATGCTATTACGGTTAGTATTAAATCACCTATTATTTCAGTGGTATTATAGTGAAATGAAAATGTAGCTAGAACGAAGTGTTACCATAAATGTTATCATTCAGATAGGTTTTTTTTAATTTTTTAGCTGGAATATTTTTCACGATTTATCCTTATTTCTTATTCCTTGTAAAACTGTTGTTTTATGTGTGAATTTATGCTAATGAATGTGAGATACGCATTTACGGTTCCACTTGTTGGAGTAGCAGGGTACGATTTGTTTTTACTAAATAATTTGTGATGTGGAAGATTTCTATGTTTAACGTGTGTTAATATGTTTTTGTTGGTTAGGCTTTTTTTTTTTTTGTTTAATTTAAAAGTACAAATGGTTTGCCAACGAAGTTATTCTAATTTAAAAGTTGCTTCTTCAGAGATGGTGTTATTGAATATCTTTTCGAATTCCAGAAAGCGCATGACATATTTAACTCTGTCGATAGTCGTAAAAGTGATCTGGAATCCAAAAAACTTAGTGTTATTGATCTTAATAATGAAATACAACACCTGCGTAATGATGCAACGACTCGAAAACATTTGGAAAGTGAGGTAAATGGATTATCAAATGAACAAAAAGTAGTTCTTTTTTCTTTTTCACTTATTTGTCTCCTCATATGAGGGCACATTATTACCTATTGTAATGCCTTGCAAAAGTAACAGCAACAAATCAAATGTTCTGCAAAGTTGTTTTATTTATTGGCAAAACTGGAAATTTAGTCAATAAATTCTTTTCAGTTCCGTGAGAAAATGGAGATCCTAGAACGTAATATAAAAGAAACATATGTTCAAACCGAAACAATCCAGATGGAGATGAAAGCAATTTGTGAAGCTAATATTGAAAAAGAGAACAAACTGGTGCATTTTTTAATCTTCGGTGGATGAGAATTGATTTGGATAAGTGATTTTTATATTTTCAACGTCGATTTCTTTTAATTTTCTCTTATTTTTTTTTTTTTATATGTTGATAAATTTTGCAGATGGAAGCACAAAATGAAATTAAACGCCTAACATTTCAAAATGATGTTGTTGATCGTGATATTGTCAATTCGCCTGATCGTTTGAACGCTGAATTAACTGATTTAACAAAGTATTTGGAAAATATTCAAAAGGAAATTTCTTCAGAAAGGCTGGTGTATATACATTTTTTGTTTAGGAAAGAAAGTCATGAACAGTACTGTAAAGTACTTTCTTTCTATTTTTGAAATTCTTTGAAAGATTTAAGGCTTGACCAGAATGAAACCACAAGTTTTACCTTGGTTAGTGGATACTCTTTTCAAAATTTTGAATTTTATAAAATAGACTTATAACTAACGGTTTAAAGTTTTTTTAGCATTTTCTTTTCTCATTTTTTGTTTTTTATGTAATATCTGGTGCAATTTTAATTGAGCTTTGCAATTCAACCAAGTGACACATTTCGTGATAGTGTTACCTGTTTCGTGTGTGCTTCTGGCACTAATTACCATCATGAGACACTTTGCAAGAAAATATTGTTAATATGTTATAGTTATGCATTATTTTATGATTTCTGCATTATTATTTTTGTTTCTACAGTCGTAAGAAATGGGAATATAAGGAAAAACAAAAGGAAAGAATCATGATCGGCCGATCTATAGAGCATTTTATGGAAATTCTAAATAAGTTGCGTGAGCGTCAGGTATGCAGTTTTATTTTTTGTTCAAATACTTTGTGTTGTGATAGCAAGTATTCTCCATAAAAAAATTAGGCTTCGTATACAATAATGTTTTTTCAATTAGTTAAAATTTTCGTGATAAATTCCAAAAGTTACATTTTACACTGCACTGAAGCTAACTATAGCGATATTTAGGGGTCTTTTAGTTTATTCTTTTCTCATTTTCTATTTCTTAATTAACTTAATGTCTGGTGTAATGTTTTGCTTAAAATGATTTTTGTTTGGAAGACTGATTCTGATTCAAAATGAGGTATTTATTTTTCTGGATTTGCAGAAGGATGGTGCAATAATTGAAGAAACATTAGCCGCTGCAGAGGAGCAACGAAATGAAGCGAAAGAAGCTTATATGAATATAGAAGAGAAATTGACAAAAGAGAGAAATAAATTGCTTGCGATGGAAAAAGAATTCGAAAAGGAAGAATCACTTCACGAGAAATCGCTAAAAGACATTAAAGAACATTTGGCGACATTAAATGAGTTAGTTTTCATTTTTTGTCTCTCCTCTCGGTTTTTTTTTTTTTTTTTTTACTTTAATATCCATGGGTAACTTTTCTTTGTCTTCATTTGTATCCTTGATTTTTTTTTATAGAAGCTTGGTTAAAATTTTACATATGCATTAAAATGTATTTGAGGAACTAGATCTTTTCAATGTTGTAGTTTTCTTGATAAGCATAATTTGTTCATATTATTTAATTTATTTAAGATCTATAATTTCACCTCTTTGATTTAATATATTTTTCTAATAATTTTTCTTTTTTTTATATTCTTGCTTTGTGTGAGACAATTCATACACTTAATTTGCTTGTAATTATTATTTTTTCTTATTACTTCCTCTGCTTTTGGTCCTTTTTTTCAATTCTTTTTTTTCTTCAGTATTTATTCCTAAAAATCCTGTTTATTCCACACTTGTAAATTCCTGAAAATTTACTCAATTAGTGATAGCGCAATTAGCAAGTGATTAAATGGGAATTTTTCCACGTCTGTGAGTCGTTGTTAGAATGCTCATATGTCGTATTCTTTATGTGGCAGAATTAAAGGATTATTATATGTTCGGATTATACTTTTTTATAAGTTCTTTGTTTCAGTTTGATTATTAAGAAAAAGAAATGGGATCTAATATCATGAAACGTTCACTGATAAAAATGCGTGTATATAGAATTTCCCATTCTCCTAGGGAAAGTCTTATTTTAATTTAACAAAAGTCTTGTTTAAACGAGTACCATTTTGTCTGACATAAAAATGAATTTCCTTTAAATTTTAATTTTTTATATTTCTTTGGTTTTATATATGGCATTTCTAGACAAGTGAAGGATATTCGTCGGCGAATGCAAGATTTTGATAAAGAGAATGTAGAAGTACAACGAGAAATCGCGAAAGTAAAGAATGAAATTGCAGCATTGACTCGAACAACGAATGCAGATACTAGAAATTTGGCTACGCGTCTTAACGAAGCTCTTAATAAAGTTCATTACAACTAAATATTTCAACTTTATTCTCTTTTTAGTCTAATTTCTAAATTTACAAGTTTTTCAACAGTTTTAGCATTCCAAATAATTTTTCTTGATTTTCCAATTTTAATTTGCATTAATCGTTTTATTTTATTTTTTTCGAGTGCAGTTTTCTGAAAATAATGTGCGTATTAGATAAATTTTAAAACTATGATTTTGTGTGCTAATTGGAGAATATTGCTGATTTTATTTCATTATAGTACTTGGATGCTGAGAAACTCTACAAAGAAGATTTCCGCAAAGTGGATAGCCTACACAATTATTTGGTAACCATGCTGAACGCATCTAATGATGACAGCACTTTCAACACATCACATTCAAGCAGTGTGTTGAGTGAACGAAATATAAGTTAGATAAAGTATAAGTTTAGTGGTAATTGAGTTTTTAGTTATCAGTTATTTAAATGTTCTTTCTTGAGATTTGATATCATACTTTATGTTAAAATAAAATGAGAAAAATGTCATCAAAATCAAAATTTCAACATATATGAATGAACGTCTCATATCATTCATTCAATTATATCTTTTTTTTTCGAAAACATATCGATTTTCATTCCCACGTTTTATCGATAAAATTCAGGAACTTAAATTCAAATCTATTCACGAAAATTGTTTCATTTAAATCTTTGCCGTCATATTTAATGAAAAAGCGAAGTTTGTTGTGTTACATACAAGTATATGTGTATACTTCTACTTCTACACGTACTTATGCGTAGCATTTGTATGTATTTCCATGTATGCATAAATTAGTTAAATAAAATCAAATGATAAAAAAGCACTTCGTTGGAAACTAAAAATTTGTCATTGGTTTATTTTTTTTTACTTCTTATGTATTTTTTTTTTCCTTTTAATTTATAAATTTTTTACTGTGTCTGGAGATTACGTATTATTTTCCAATTGTAACAATCGGTCGTTTATAATTTTAAACACTCATCCTTCTAATTTTTTGATTGAGTAATTCGTAATGCGAAGATTGATGTTTGCAACAACGTTCCTTTTTTTATTTTTAAACTAACTAAATGAATGATCGAAAACTAACATTTCTAATATTAACACTACTATTAATAATATTCTCTTATTATTTACTATTATTATTAAATTATTACCGATACTTATGATCAGCATTTATTAAGTATTTAATTACCAGCCTTTCCCCCCATGGTATTAGTCATAATATAAGCTTAGTGTGGCAGAGTAATCTCTTTTAAATGTAGTTCCAAAAAAAAAAAAAAAATACCCACTGTATGCTCATCACTGACTAGTTTCGTATGAAACATTCGTAATTCATGATGTTTTTTGATTTTTGCACTATGGCTTCATGCCTTTATAATCTTACCTAGATCATTGAGCGTTTCTTTTTTTTTTTTTTTTTGGTAAGTTATTTGCAACCTTTATCAAAAGCCCGAAAATTCACCTTGTGCTTCAGATTAGTTTACATAACACTTAACCAAATCCCTTACAAAAGATCAATATGAATTGTGTTAAAAAGATAAAAAATCTTGGAAAATTTTCGGGTAATAAATATATCGATGTCTCCTTTTTGTGATCTCAACAGGGTTGGTGGTGTAGTGAGACTGCCACAAAAGCAGTGCAAGACAGTTTGGTGGGGAAGAAGACAAGTTTTCGACTTGTTTACGTGCAAAAGGAGATGAAGTATTACTGTAGTAGGATTAAAAAAAGAAAGAGACTCCTCGGCATCTTTGCGCCGGAAGAACATTTCTGATGTTTGTAAGGAGGAGTGGAGTGCTCATTGTACTTATTGTCTTATATGTTCTGGCGGTTCTATTGTTTCTTGCCGTTTTTTTTTTTTCTTGCAGTAACTTCACCAGTTATAATTGATTGTGTACTTATTATGTTGGTAGTATTGGTAGTATTGTTGCCTGGAAATTTTGAGATCTTTCGTCATCTTTCGAAATTAATGGTGAAAGTCTTGAGAGTATGCCATTGAGGTCAAAATTTTGCTGGATTAATTTGCTGTTGGATATCCTTCCATTCCTATCTTTTTTAAATCCACAACTTTGCATTAATTAAAACCTGCTTTGAATGCGTTCTTCTATTCCAACATTCTTATGGTTTCCGATGCGTATTTGTGTGCTTAATGTTTTTTACATTTCAGTTTACTTGCCGTACCTGTTTTGGAAAAATAAGTTGCTCACAGAAATCTCCGCCTGCTAGTCTGAATCGATTTTTCAGAAAGTGTTTCTGCCTACGACTATAACTTAATACGTAAGAATTTAGAATCTGGTTTAAAAATTTTGACATCTTTACTATAAAAAATTCATTTCTTAAGTCTTGGAGTTACTTATCTCTAATTGGATAGTAACAATTGAAAAGCTAGATATCCGTGTAAAGCAGGAACATAACAGTTTTGTTTAGTATTCCTTACAGCCATATTCCTTATCTTCGCAATTATTCAGCGTAGAATTCATTAGGGTGGAGGATAAGAATGCCTGAGTGGTTGCATTACTTAATCTTCACTGTAATTTATTTCTTGATTTTCCATTTTGTTAAAACTATTTAATTATCCATCGCATAAAGAAATATACCATTCAAGTTTTTTTTTTCTGCTTGAAGTTTTCATTTTGCTGGTAATTTTCTCACTTGCAATTGTTTTAGCCATTTGTTATTTCTTTGCAATCCTTTCTCTCAAGTCGTTTTTATTTTTTTTTTTAATATTTTAAATTTTTGTTCATAATAATGTTGATCATAATTGTTGATAAAATAAAGTGAAAAAGCGTGCTTGTGCAGCTACATAAATAAGCTATTAGAAAGATAATGAAAGAAATATGGGAACAAAAAGAAAAAAAATTCAATCAAATTAAATTTTTAAAGGTAAAAATTGAGAAAATAAGAAGTGGTTATGATAAAGGTTATGAAATCGTTAATTTTTAATTCAAAATGCATAGTAAAAAAAAAATACACAATTATATGAAACAACGAGTAAAACAATGGATATATCGAAAGTGTTAAGAAAGTACTCTTGCAAAAGGGATTTTCCATTCAGAGTTTGTCTTGCAACTGAAAAGATTGCACGATATATGTAGGTAATGCTATCTTGATAAATTACTTAGCTCTGAAATTCTAGGAAATGTCGAGACCAGGAGGTTAAGCATTTAAAAAATAAACTAGGAAGTAAATTCCCAATAATAGAAGAAATAAGAAAGATGAAATTGATGCTTGGAATAAAAATGAAAATGGATAATCAAAAATTTATGGGCGAATTAAGTCATCGTGGATAGTTCAAAAAAGTCTTTTTTTTTCAACGTTTAGCTTGTAAATCAAAAAGGCTTTTTGTAAACATATCCCATAACTGTACTGTTTTTGGTCAATACAGTACCTGATGGATGCCATAATGACATAAAAATTTAGACGACGGTACGAAATAGAACATAAAAGAAAGAATTGCTGAAAAAAATCTTATTAAATTGTGCAAAAATCAGAAGTGGTAATTTGTACGTAGCCTTTATTTGACTATTCATTCCTAAGAAAATGAACAAAAATCTGTATTAATTAATAGAAATAATTGAGAGAAGAAAAAAAAAAAATGTTTATGTAGAAGAATGGTATGGATGTACGAGGATATGATATTAGTACGAGGATGTTAGATTGAGATGTAGTAGAGACAAAAAAAATACTCGAAGAAAAAAAGGATGGAACAGTCTCCATATATTGGATGAAAAAAAAAAATCTTCATGAGTGCGAAAGAATGAAGACTCTCGAGCGCGAAAGATTGCAGAGAAATACTATTATTATGAATGTTCATTTTCGTCACTATTTTCTTGTCTTTTTGTTGCGTCAGAATTATCAGGGAAAGTATGGGGTATTTAATGATTAGCATAAATAGAATTATGTGTAGGTAAATTAAAATTATGTGTAGGTAAAAAAGAAATACTATTATTATGAATGTTCATTTTCGTCACTATTTTCCTGTCTATTATTATGAAAAACTCTCGAGCGCGAAAGATTGCAGAGAAATACTATTACGTGACTATTTTCCTGTACTTTTGTTGTGTCAGAATTATCAGGGAAAGTATGAGGTAGTTAATGATTAGCATAAATAGTATTATGCGTAGGTAAATTAAAATATGTAAATCAGTGTTTTTTCACCCTGTGTTCTTTTACCATAAGTAAATAATAGTTACGTCACTGGTCTTTGTGCTTAGTGAAAATTTGATAAGTTTGCTAATTTTATAGAATTGCGGCTCCCATGGAGGACCAAGAAATCGAAGTGCTTTTCGAATACCTTAAAAGGGAACCGGAGATGTACCGGATTTTGCAAAGGTTCGTGAGCAGGACTGTTCAGGTAATTTTCACTTTGTCTTCCTCTTTTTTGCTTTTATTTTTTACATTATTATTTTTTTTTTATAAATTGATACAGTATGAAGAAAGAGTTGCTGAACTTTGCACTGCCTTAAATTTAAAAAGTGACTGTAAAAAATAGCTTTTTCAGTTTGAACAGTCGCTCATAGAAAGGATGGCGGAGGCGGGGTGGAGGTTGGAGGAACTGGTAGGGCAGAGTGCCCAGCCAGCAATGGAAGAGGATCCGGTACCTCAGGAGCCGGAATTTAACGAAGAAGAGGCAGAGTGGGCTCCTCTGCCTGAAAATGAAAATGGTGATGAGGCCGAGAACTGGCCATCAGAAGCAGAGTGGACCCCTCTGCCGGAAGACGAAGAAGAAGAAGAGCCTGAGGTACCGGGGGTACCAATGGAGATCGAGGAACCGGTAGAAGCAGTACGCGAACTCGTCCTGTAAGTTTAAGTTTTAGCAGCTATTGTACTAATTTGCTAACTAGATATTAACCTTACCTACCCAATAATTTGCAATAAATATAAAACTGTTTCAGGCGAACGAGGACAATCAGAATCCCGGTTCCTGCCATGCAAGAAGCAATGGCTGCGGCACCTCCGGAGAAATTCGAACCAGCTGATTTAAAAAATCTTCCGGAGCAACTCCGAAGAGAGTTGATAGTGCCGCAAGCAGAGCCATACACGGTGGCACAAGGAGAAGGAAGCAAGAACATCGGTAAGTTATAATTTTAATAACTTAAGAAATGATTATATGCCGCAATTTGTAGAAGAAATACAATCATATTTTGACTTTGTATTGATAAAATCATATGATATCATCGAAAATTTCATCCCTTATAATGCACTAAAACGATTACAAAATTCTATATCGATACTCGAAGAACAGTTTGTGCAACAATATTTTCTTACTATTTCTATTTTCAGTGTGTGGCCTCTGCTGCAGGCAGTTTGAAACGTTGAAAGGGTGGCGCATTCACGCGTCGAGAACACACAAGCAAGATGGTAAGTATTGCGAAATGAATTTCCAATTAGTTTTTAAAGATATCGCTACATTTGATTCATTTAAAAGCCAGTAGACTGATTAATCATACATATTCCAGGCTTTTGTGCCCGTTGTGGGCATTACCTCTTGCTGCCACCTGAATTTACGGCCGCCCAGAGAACGGCAGCAATGGAGCTTCATGCCCTCGATTGGTGCCCGAGGGCATGCGCGGCCGTAATAAGCAAACGACAGGTGAAGCGGCGCAGACTTGACCTGGTAGGAAGAGAAGAGGATGCGCATCACCTCTTCATCCCAGGTAAGAAATTAATTAGCATTGAAGAAGTGAAATTTAAAAGTTAAAAAAAAAATGAACGGCCATAGAAAATAAAATATTCGTAAAGTGGGTCTCGTAATTTTTTTAATCAGTGGTTTTTTTCAGGCTAATATTATTGCCTGGTCTTCCATATGCGGCCACCTGTCGCTGCCTGCTGCGAATCTCCATCCTCTTCCAATGAAAGACGTCCAAGCTGGTTAGTAACATCCAAAAAATAAAAAAAAAATGAAAAACTAACAAATAAAAAAAACAAAAAAACAAAAAAAAAAAAAACTAAAAAATAAAAAAAAAAAAACTAAAAATAAAAAAAAAGCAAAAAAATAAAAAATTAACTAAAAAATAAAAAAAAAAAAACAAAAAAAATCGAAAAAACCTAAAAAAAAAGATTTAAAAAAATAAAAAAAAAAATAAAAAAAAATTTGATGTTTAATTTAATGTAAAAACAACTGATTTCAAAATATGGAAAAGGCTGAGGAGTTTGTAGCTGCTTTACGTTTTTGTATGTCATTTACCGTCCTAGTGATAGAGTAATCAAAAGCTTGTAAAGGGCATTTTTTTGCCATCACAAGCATAAATCAAATTACTTTGAAATCAGTTGTTTTTTCTTTTTTTTTTTTTCTTTTTTTGTTTTTTAGCCTTTGGGCAGCTAATTTTTGTTGAAAATTGTGTATTTTATTTATTTTCATCTAAATAATGTAATTTAATGTTCTTATTTTTTGATATTACTTATAACTGTTTAATAACTGTTTTTTTTTTTTTTTTTTTTTGATTTTCTAAACTTATCACATTTATTGTTTTTTTTTTACAACTATTGTTACTTTATCCATTATTTCTGTTTAATGAAAATTTTCATTGTTATTTTAGTGTTACTAATGGTGTTAAATTTTTTATTTAATTTTATTGCCAACTTATTGTATATTTAATTTTTGCACTTTCTTACTTGTAATAAGTTCTTTACATTTTAAGATGATTTTTTGGCTATTTAAAAAAAGCACAAATTTCTTCATATGAATATATTTTTAATGGAATTGAGCAATTTTTGAATGTTTCTGTCTGTATTTAAGTAGCATTTTAATTTAAATAAGATAAGTTGTCAAAAGAGGATAGATTCAATGAGATGTAATTTAAAACTTTTTGCGCTAAGTCATAAGTTGATATCAATTTGTAATTATCTTTGTGTGTATGAGGTGGGAGGGAGTGTAGGGATGGTCGAAGGGAGGTATAGAATTATACCTTCCTTCGTCAGCATAACATTAACTAAGCATAAAGAAAAAATTTTTGTTTTGAAATTCAGATGACGGGCCTTCTGAAATCTGGAATAAATTTCAAATTTTTGATCTCTATTCATTTTTAAGGATATTTTTTGAATTGGTAGAGCTTTGGGCTTTAAAAAGATTTCAAAAATATTTAATTTTTGTTTTTTTTTTTTTAATTTTTGCGTTTCAATTTTTTTTCTGAATTGAGTTAAAATCAAAAATCTTTTTTGAAATTAATTCTGTTTTATTCGGATTATTTTTTGGAATCTTTTTTTGGATTTTTTTTTTTTTTTTTTTTTGGTAATTTTTTTTGGATTTTATTAATTGCATGCTTTTTTTCATTCATTTCATTTGTTGCTATTTTCATTTTTTTATGCCTTTAGCATTTTACTGCTTGCTAACTTTTGTCTATTCCACTAATACTAATTTATTTTCGTTGTATTACCACTAATTTGTATCACTTTTTTTTTGTTTCAAAAATCTTTCACTTTTATCTTTTTTTTGTTTATATTGGTTTTGCATGTGTTTTCGGTTATTTCTACTAATTGCGTGTTTTTTTATTTTTTTTTTTTTTTATTTTTGCTATTAACACGTACATTTTTTGTATCTTACTAACTGCATGCTTTTTGTAACTTTTTCTCATGTATACTTTTTCTTTTGTATTTATTGCATGCCTTTATTTTTTCGTTGTTTTCACTCGTTTTTTATTAACTGTATTTTTGCATGCATTTTTTCGTTAATTTTATTAACTGCATGCTCTTTGTAACTTTATATTATTTGATGTTTTTTTATCAGCATTATTTTTTCGTTTGTATTTATTGCATGCTTTATTTTTTTGTTGTTCTCACTCGTTTTTTTTTTTTTCTTGGCTAGTTTTATTAACAAGCATGTGTTTTGTGAACCTATTTACACCATTTTTTCGTTTGTATTTATTGCATGCTTTATTTTTTCGTTGTTCTCACTCGTTTTTTTTTTTTTTTATTAACATTATTTTTGCATGCATTTTTCGATCAATTCTATCAACTGCATGCATTTTGTATCTTTACTCACACATTTGTTATTATGGCGCACATTTTTTTTGTATTTAAATGCATGCTTTTTTTGTTGGCTTCATTCATTTCTATTAACATCGTTCTTGCATGCGTGTTGAGTTTATTCTATTAACAGCATGCTTTTTGTTACTTTATATATTTTGCTGTTTTTTAATTAACATTGTTTTTGCATGCATTTCTTGGCTAGTTTTATTAACATGCATGTTTTTTGTGAACTTACACCATTTATTATTAAGATGTACACTTTTCTCTTTTGTATTTATTGCATGCTTTTATTTTTCACCCGTTTTATATTAACATTGTTTTTGCATGCATTTTTTGTTAATTTTATTAACTACATGTTCTTTGTAACTTTTTCTCATGTACACTTTCTTCTTTTGTATTTATTGCATGCTTTTATTTTTCACTCGTTTTTTATTAACATTGTTTTGCATGCATTTTTTGGTTAATTTTATTAACTGCATGCTTTTGTTACTTGGTACTATTTGCTGTTTTTTTATTAACATTGTTTTTGCATGCGTTTCTTGGTTAGTTTTACTAACATGCATGTGTCTTGTGAACTTACTTACACCATTTAATATTAAGGCGTACACATTTTTCTTCTGTATTTATTGCATGCTTTTATTTTTCACTTGTTTTTTATTAACACTGTTTTGCATGCATTTTTTGGTTAATTTTATTAACTGCATGCTTTTTGTTAGTTTATACTATTTACTGTTTTTTTATTAACATTGTTTTTGCATGCGTTTCTTGGTTAGTTTTACTAACATGCATGTGTCTTGTGAACTTACTTACACCATTTAATATTAAGGCGTACACATTTTTCTTCTGTATTTATTGCATGCTTTTATTTTTCACTTGTTTTTTATTAACACTGTTTTGCATGCATTTTTTGGTTAATTTTATTAACTGCATGCTTTTTGTTAGTTTATACTATTTACTGTTTTTTTATTAACATTGTTTTTGCATGCGTTTCTTGGTTAGTTTTACTAACATGCATGTGTCTTGTGAACTTACTTACACCATTTAATATTAAGGCGTACACATTTTTCTTCTGTATTTATTGCATGTTTTTTGTTACTTGGTACTATTCGCTGCTTTTTTATTAACATTGTTTTTGCATGCGTTTCTTGCGTTAGTTTTATTTACATGCATGTTTTTTGTGAACTTACACCATTTATTATTAAGATATACACTTTTCTCTTTTGTATTTATTGCATGCTTTTATTTTTTCGTTGTTCTCATCGTTTTTTTTTTTTTTTTTTTTTATTAACATTGTTTTTGCATGCATTTTTTGTTAATTTTATTAACTGCATGTTCTTTGTAACTTTTTCTCATGTACACTTTTTTCTTTTGTATTTATTGCATGCTTTTATTTTTCACTGGTTTTTTATTAACATTGTTTTTGCATGAGTTTGGTTATTTCTGTTAACTGCATGCTTTTTGTAACTTTACCATTTTTTGTTGATTGATGAGTACATTTTCTTTTTTGTATTTGTGCATGTTTTTTCGTTGTTCTCACTCGTTTTTATTAATTTTGTTTTTGCATGAATTTCCTAATTCTGTTAACTGCATGCTTTTCGTAACCTTATCACAGCATTTGCTGTTGATGAGCAGATTTTTTTTGTATTTATGCATGCTTTTTTCATTGTTCTCATTCATTTTTATTAATATTGTTTTTGCATGCATTTCTTAATTCTGTAACTGCATGCTTCCATAACTTTTCTAACAATATTTATTATTGTAGTGCAAACTTTTTTGTTTTTAAGTGCATGCTTTTTTTTGTCGTTCTCACTCATTTTTTATTAACATTGTTTTTGCATGAGTGTTTGGCTATTTCTATTAACTGCATGCTTTTCGTAACTTAATCATATTATTTGTTGTTGATGAGCACACTTTTTTTTGTATTTACGCATGCTTTTTTTGTTGTTCTCACTTGTTTTTATTAACATTGGTTTTGCATGCATTTCTTAATTCCATTAACTGCATGCTTTCATAACTTTTCTAACAATATTTATTATTGTGGTGCAAATTTTTTTGTTTTTAAGTGCATGTTTTTTTTTTTGTCGTTTTCATCCGTTTTTTATTAATATTCTTCTTGCATGCATTTCTTAATCTATTAGCTGCATGCTTTCCCTAACTTAATCACACCATTTGTTGTTGACAAGCACATTTTTTTGTATTTTTTTCATGCTTTTCTTTTTCTAACTTACTGTCACTCCCTTTTTTTATTAGCATTATTTTTGCACGCATTTTTCGGTTAATTTCATTAACTGCATGCTTTTTTTACTAATCTCACTTGCTTTTGTATTAGGTAATTTTTTTTATTATTCACATCTCCTTTTTCTCGTATTCATTTTATGCTAACATTGTTTTTTGCACGCATTTCTGTTGCTTCAAACTTACCGCATACTTTTCGTCTTTTTCAAAGGTTTGTAACTTTTAGATTTTCTAACTTCCAGTGCTTATTTTAGGCTGCTACTAGCCAACATTCTGGAGCAACTGGTCAAATTGGTTCTAGAAAGTTTTTTCATTTGTGTCAGCTTGATAATTCAGCTATAATTATATGCTTTTGGAATCGCAATAAAATTTTCGTGTGACTTATGCTTATATGAGATGAAGAGAACACTCGAAAAGTAAGCAGTTCCAGTTTATTTCTAATGTGTATTTTCAAAAAATTATGCTAACAGTTTGTTCAAAAACTTATTTTTTTTCTAAATTTTCTTCATTCATTGCTCAGTTTTATTTCATTCAAGAAGAGTTTTTTAATTGTTCAATTTTATTTCATTCAAGAAGAGTTTTTTAATTAAACTGTCTATCGAATCATATTAATTTCTTGCACCTTACTTTATTATTTACATAAGTTTGGTTTATTTCAGCTCATATTAGTTAT